ACTGAGTGTTCGTAAGTCTTTTCAGGTATTACTTGGCTCTCATCTGGCCACGAAGTAACTAATTGTTTGCAGGCTGGCTTGCTTAATATCAGGCAGTTTGAAGATGCGAGTGGTTTATGAATGAAAACCAAACCTTTGGCCCTTCTGCCACAAGGACTCCAATGAGGTATTGACTTTGGGGTCACCACCACAATCCCTTCATAGCTTGTGTGTGAAACCTTGAGTTCATAAAATGAGCTGCACTGCAGACTTTTAAATGCTGAAGCATCTATCTCGGACATCCTTTAAAATGGGGATTTAACAGACATGCAAAGTGTGTGTGTATATACACACACATACACAGACAGAGAGGAGCAAATAAAGGACCCTACAGCTGGAGGTTTTTAGCTGTGAAGGACCCTACAGCTGGAGGTCTTTAGCTGTGATCTTAGTTGTGGGCATCCTCTTTCGACCAATGTTTGAAGGTGAAGGTCAAAATTCAGTGCTGTATCATCACTGCAAGGTCAAATAGGCAGTACATCAAGAGCCAACAGAGTAAAAATTGGCAAGGCACGAGAGTGAGTTGGACTTGAACCAAAGCGACAGAAATGAGCCCTCAAGTTTGGTAGGTCAAGCTCCTCGCTTGAAATAGGAGCATTTAGTTTATTTACTTACTTGTCCTTTAAGCCTGCCACCTGCTTCCTGAAATCTGAAAATCATTTTCTCTGAAAGTCCTTTGATAAGCTCTGCCTGTACAACCAAGCGATGATAATCCAGAGTTTCCACAAACCTCTATCACCAAATAGGTATTTCACATTTTCTGCGATGGTGGGTAAATATATTTAACAGTGTTTTGGTCTCCTTGATGGCTTACAAAGAAATTAATTGCTGTGTGTGCTGTCCCCGGGGCCTGCCCTTTTCTCCAGAAGCATCCCGTGCCACGGCACGCGGGTGGCTGCTGGATGTGGGTGAAGAAGTGGGGTGTAATCACGCGGGGCCCTCCTGCGGCAGGGAGGTGGGTCTCTGAGTGGTGCTCTGGTCTCCAGCTGCTGGCTCGCAGCTGGGGGGACAATAGTCCCGAGATGACAAACGCTCGTGTGGCCCCGAGAGCTTCTTTGGCTGCTGCCAGCTGGCTCTTGCTGTGGTTTTGCCATTTGAAAGCTTAAACAGTGCAAATAAAAAAGCAAAATCAGTCTGGAAAGTAAACAAAATTAGGAAGAAGGAGAAGCAGGAGACTCTTCTCCCATAGATCTTGCACAGCACCTTGCAAAAATACCCCAAGCCATGAGCCAGTAACCTGCTTTGAAGCAGGGTGTGTATCAATCACAGCTGAGAGAGAGGTTATGGCATTGCCGTTTCAGCACATCTGTGTTGCTGACTTCTTTGCTAACACATGTTCTGTCTGTTAATGTAAAACACAAAAAAAAAGTTACTTTCAGTACCTTTCCAAAAAAAAAGGAGGGCCCATAGGAAGTGAAACGTCTGTGTGACCTGGGCTGAGAAGGTGTATTGCGTTTCTCCCTCCTCTTCCCAGTCTCAGCTCTACCAGGGTTTGTGGGATTTGTTTTCTTTGCTATTCAGATCTGGAGAACTATTTTGGTTTTTATTTCCCTATTGCTGTATCTTCTATGCAATTCCTTTTCTAAAGACTGACTCACTCCAGAGAAGTGCTAGCCATTGCATTATTTGTATTGCTGTACAGTGGAGGTGTGGTTTACTAGTTCTGAGTGTGCCTCTTACCCCCCTCCCTTTTTCTCCTTCCCTCTGTTTGTAAATGCCTGCATTTATTCTGTCAGCCTGACATGTACAAAGTGTAAGAAAGAATTTTTAAACAGGTAATAAATTATATTTATAAGCAACTGGAAAAAATAAAATACACCACTACCTTGTGTTCAATTGTTTAGTTCCTGGAAGCCTGAGAGGAAAGAGGAGCCTTTCATTTAGTTTCTTTTTAAAAAACAAACAAACAAAAAACCACTAACAAAACCCATGTGCTCAAAAGACACGTTTCCGCGCACAAGAACTCCTTGTGATGCAGTCTCCCTCAGAAGACACCATTCATGACATCCACATGCCCCTGCAGGCTCTTTCACTGCATTTCATAAATCCTTGCTCCTCCCTGTGGGGTTTTACCCCGACAGCCACCAGAGGATTCGCCCCAGACACTTTTTTCTGGGTAAACAACGGGTTTAAGCAACAGGTAAGACAGTGCATCTTCAGCTGCTGAGCTCAGCTCCCATCCCTACATCCAGCCACTTGGAGTGGGGAGCTGCCCGCTGGGCTTGTTGCAAGGCCCTGGGAGGCAAACTCAACTCTACCTGGGCTAGGGGATTTTGTCCAGCAATACCTGCCTGTGATGGAGGCGATACGGGGGCCTGCGTGCTGCTGGGGACACCATCCCATCGTGCCACGCAGAGGGACACTCAGCCCTTACCATCTCATAGGCCAGACCTGCAGCCTGCCAGCACAGCCACACGATGTGCTCGCTCCTGCTTTCCTGAAAGGGGCAAGTCAAGGTTAAGTCACAGAATCACAGTATTGTTGGAGTTGGAAGGGACCTTCTAGAGATCATCTAGTCCAACTCCCCTGCCAAAGCAGGGTTGCCCAGAGCACATCACTCAGGACGGCATCCAGGTGGGGCTTGAAGATCTCCAGAGAAGGGGACTCCACACCCTCCCTGGGCAGCCTGTTCAGGGCTCTATCACCCTCAACTTCCCATGTTCCAGCTTGTGCTCGTTGCCCCTCGTCACTGGGAACCACTGAAAAGAGTCCGGCTCCATCCTTCTTTAACTCACCCTTTAAATACTTACAAGCATTAATAAGGTCTCCCCTCAGCCTTCTCCTGGCTGAAGAGCCCCAGCTCTCTCAGCCTTTCCTCATAAGGGAGATGCTCCAATCCCGTAATCATCTTTGTTGCTTCAGTCAAAGTTGAAGCACTCCAACAGCATACGAAGCCAAACAGCACACAGCCCAAAATCCAAAGAACTTCACAAGTGCATTTGCCAGGTACGTGAGACCCCGCAGCCCCCCAAAAAAACAACCCATCCCCTGTATGCCTGAATTACAGCAAGCTTTTCCCAAAGTGCAAGGTGGCTTTATTTTCCACCCATTTTTTCATACAAGCCACACGGTGGGCAGAAGACAATTGCTCAGGCTGTTCTCCCTGAGCATGGGGCACTGCAGCTCCTTAATGAAGTGTCTCACTACCACCAGGTTCCTCCATCTCCCTGGCTTCACTGCTAAAACAGGGGTGTGGGCGGGACAGAAGGCATAGCTTATTCAACAGTAACTCTGGCCACCATGCAGTCCCGCAGCTAAAAAGAGCTGAGCTGCAGGCAGGGCTGGTTTCTGCAAAATTAAGATGCCCACACAAAGTCACTGCTTTTAGATTTCCTGGTGTCTCGTCTGCCTTTCCCTTTGCACACTTAGCTTTCACAGGAGACAAACTCCTTTCTGTCCCTGTCCATCCCACCATTCCCACCCTGTCTACATGTATTGCCAGACTCAAGTTTCCTTTGGTTTCTGACACCCCACAGCCTGAACTCTTGGCATTGGCCAAGCAGTTCCCTCCTTATCTTCAGGGACTTTTCCTTCAGGTACCTCACCTATTCTTCCTGAGACTCCTGGAAGTATCTGCTCCGGTGTTCCTGCATTTGAAGGTGGGACTGGAACTCTCCAGGTGGTGAAAAGCTTGGTTTGGTGTGTAACACGAGGAAGCAGAGCTCCAGTTTTGGCAGGGGGCGTGAGGACATGACTCGGCCAACCTTGAACGGAAGCCAAACAGTCCCAACGTTGCCTGCAGCTGCAGAAGATACAGGTAGCTAAGCCCAAGGCTAAACAGTAGCCATGCACCTAGCAAGGTGGAGAGGAAAAAAAATTAGATCAGAGCCTAGGACTGCCCCAAAAAGCCATACCTAGGAAGTCTGGGGGGAAAGCAAACATGAAGGGAGGAAGAGAGGTCAGCTGCAGAAACACCTACCTCAGCAGCGTGCTGAAGAAGGTGCAGCCCAGATGGGCTGCGCTGGAGCATCAGATGACCTTCATCACCATGCAGCCAAGGGGAGCAGAAACAGCCCCAAAACACAGTGACAAGGCAGGGACAACATGCAGCAAGCACAGGGCTCTCTTGCCTAGACATGGCCTGGCCAAAGGGACTGTGGAAACGCTGCTGGAGAGTAACCAGAACGCTCCATCACTGATCACAGATGGCCTGGAGCAAAGCAGGAGGGCTGCAGGGACGGTGTTAGTCCTTGGCAAGACGTGGCTGAAGGGAAAAATGGTGTTTACACACTTCCCTGAAAATAACTGGCAAGCTAATTACACACGGGGAAACGCCAAGCTGAGTGCTGCCTGCTGAAACACAGCCCTGTGGAATGAGAAGCCAGCTCAGGCCATAAATACAAATACATATAAATACTTCTGTGTACATCGAGACACATCACTCTGATGTCTCCCAGCACTAAGCAACGCCACATCTCAGCTGATGCCCTGTACATAGGTCACAACTTTTTTTTTTTACAGGAAAATCTAGCTTCAGTCAGCGCAGATTACCTCCTGTGCTAGTAAATATAATAGTTGCAATTCATAAATATATGGGGGAAAGAAAGGGAAAGGGTGGGGGTGCTCACAAAAACGTTATGTATAGATTTACATAATCAGCGACAAAATGCGGGTGACTGCTCTATTAGTGATAACACTATTTTAATTACTATTTCTCTCTTCACTGAGTTGTGAAAGGGGTGATGCTTTTTTATGCCAGCGGAAACATATGCAACGTCTTACTGTTTACTTGTTTACTGAGAGGAAAAATCTTATTAAAAACAAATAACAAAAATGAGGCATGGTCAAAATCATCTAGCCAGTGAAATGAAGCCCAAGGTAGTGCTTTTCAAGCACATGAAAAGTAAATAGAAGTAAAAGCAATCTCTTCCATGGAGAGATGGAAACAATTTTATTTGGGGGAATGTTAAAACAACCATATACAATTTGAACAAATACAATGTAACAGTTTGTTCCCCAGGTTTTCTAATTACAGTATTTACAGGTTTAATAAGGCACTGGTTCTCAAAAAAGAACACAAATTTGTTTCTTAGTCTTTACATTGTCAACCTTTTCTTTAATAGAAATAACTTTGTGCTAAAGAAAGGATAGCAGTTGCTAGATGGCATCTCTCTTAATTTTTTGATATTTTTTTTTCCTCTTCCTCCTACTTACCTATGCCATCTCATCTATGCCAATGAGTACTAAACTAAACCTCCTTCAGGGATTTACATTTGAAAACTGGATCTCCACACCTGTGGGCACTGAAGCCACAATTATCTCCACCACCGACTTCCACACCCTAATCAACACTGGGCAACTACCAAAATCTGGAAGTGACGTTAAAAGGCCACACCTGGCAAAATAAATGTCACTGTACATGCTGAAACCACACTAATGACATGTTGAGTGCTGCATAAAGTCAGCCATGCCGGTGTTAGCGGGAATGTCACAGTGCTAGAACAAACAACTTCCAAGACTTCCTAAGGCTGTTCTCTGGCCTTAGGAATATCCCTTTACAATAGCATTCCTTGCAGTGGGTAGGAGATTTGAGGGCAAAATTTGGCTTTTCAAGTCTTGAAAGAAAATGGGCAGGCACTAGTTACACAACTGCAAACCCTTTGCTTTCTCAGAGGTGTGTCTCCTCATATATATATATATATTTATTTATTTTCCTATATAGCACCGTTGCAGTGATTTGTCATTTATGCATTTTCATAAATAAATATTATGTTTTATTTAGTGCTTTATCATCCGTAATAGTTTACTCTTAATCCACATACTGGAGTTATCCCAGACTCCTAACTGAATATATATATATTTATTTATATATATATAAACACATAAACTTGAACATTTAACATATACACTTTATGTAACCTATCAACCAGTATCTCAGCTCCCTTTCTTTCGGACCGAAGAAAAGTAAGACTTGTTCAGAAAACCAGCAACTGGCCCTTTCTCTCGGGACATGCTGATGGCAGGTGCTGGGGGGCATCATGTGCCTCAGACCACCAGCTGCCAAAGCACCCTCTGAAACATTCCTGGGGAGAGTCATGATAATAGTTAAAAAACCCCAAACCTCTTTTAGGAAAGCAGACTTAGAATACACCTAAACAGGGCAGGGAAAAGGCATCCCTGCTGTGCCACCACTCACCTGGGAGCTGCAGGCAGTGGGCTCGGAGGTGGGATTGCCAAAGCCACCAGTCCCACCTGCTTTGGTGGAGCCAAGGAACCCCAGTTCCTCAGGGCTGTGCTGTTTCTTACGAAAGGGCACAAAGGTGTGAAAATAGAAAGTAGAGTGAAGGAGTGAGAGTAGAAACCCCAGGGCCCCGTTCACTAAGATAGAAGGTGAAGAGAGGCTGGGCTGTTCTGCTCATTTTGGGTCACAAAGCTTCAAGCCAAGGCAGCCGAGGAGAGGAGCCAACTCCGCTCCCAGCCACACAATGCACTGCTTATTAAGGACAGGGGAAATCAGCATCGTCCCTCTTGGGGCCAGGGTTCAGCATCCTATTAAATCCCAGAGATTTTCTTTTTTGTATTGCTCAGTTACTTTTGGTTACAGGCAGGGAAATTGCACTGCGGAAAAAACACTCTAATTAACGAAAATCCTCTGATTAAACTTTTTAACACCTATAATCACGGAGGTCTTGCTGGTTCTCTGGAACCTGCACGTTTTTCTCTGTTAGCATGAAAGTATAAAATGGTAATTTTTTTCAACTAGAATCACCTTCAGGGAGCTGTGAAGCTAAACCCCAATTATATATCTACCTACCACAAATAAATCAGTTTTGTCCAAAAAGGAAAAAAAGAAGCATTACAGAAATGCTGAGGCTAATTCCAGCACGGCAATTATTTCAGTTATGAAATAGGCTTAGCATAATCAAAGCACATTTGTAAGGACTTATTTCAAAATTAAGCTGAACGCTATCTAAATGAAACAGGACACAGGCAGGCAAAAAAATAAAATAAAATTAGAAAATAAAATAAAAGAAGGGTAAAGAAGAGTAAAATGGTAACTCCCATACAGCTCAGCTTGGATAACCCCATGAGGAACAGAGACCTTTCCAAAGAAAACACTTCACGGGGAATACTTCACCTCGTTTCCCTTCTGGAGTGTTAACATTGCAGCAACTGCTGCAGCCCCAGGAAGGAGGAACAGGGGAAGATGGTAGGTTTCCCATCCCTCTTCTCCCCTGAAAGTCTTTCTTGCTGGAAATCACGATGCTACACAGCCCCACCGTGGCAGCAGAACCTGTCACTGCCATGGGTGCCCAGCTCTCATCACCCACCCAAGTTCCACGCTCCTTCCCTCTCGGCTTCCTACTGCGGCCACGAGGCACCGTGTCTCCTTCAAGAACAATGACTGCCACCCCAAAAATGAGAATCTTTGAGGTTTTTCACATTCCCTTAAGGAAGAGAACACAGATTATTATTTTTTTTTCCAACTGTGGTTGTAGGTGGATACCTCACTTTTACGTAGATGAAAGAGTAAATTGATAATATTTTTTTTTTCACAGTGGTTGTGTATGTAGGTCACAGCAGTTTCAAATTCACCAGCGGATCCAAATGTGTACTTCATTTCCACTCACACACAAAAAGCTTTATTTTGCAGTGTGGGGAAAGAAAGAAAGAAAGAAAAAAAAAGCTGAGAAAAGGGGGATTTGTTTATCGTCCTGGTACCATCATACCCATCAGATTTCCTGGAAACATTAATTGCTCCTTCAAAACAAGTGACACTGAAGCATATTCATAAGGCTCCTGATTATCTTAAAGAAAGCACAACCTCCCCTGGGACAGGACCCCCACAGGACCCCAAATACCTGTGCTAAGGGTGGCAGGGACGTCATCAGGCTCCGTCTCTATACTGTAAGAACCGCTTGCACATGCAGAGCTACCGAAAGTAATTTCTCCAGGTAAGCAGCTTCTAAGACGGCTTCCATTAGAGCTCCTCAGCTGCACAGACCCACTCTCCTGTTTTTTTAAATGCTGGAGTGCAATAGTCTCTTTGTAAATGAAAAAGTCGCTTTGCTTTAATTTTCAGAACAGTTTCCTCCAATTTTTTTTTAATGTAACAATATACATCTTTTTTACTTCTAACCAAAAGTTTTATTTTCATAAAATTTAAAGCAGTATCTTTTTAAACAATCAAAATAATAATAATAACAATAATAATAATAAAATAATAAGTGGCTTTCATGGAAAGCAACATGCATAATCTTAAACCAGTTACGAAAACTGTATTTCCCCGTGTAAACAAGGGCAGAAAAGCCTCTTCCAATCTTGTATGTCAAAATTCAACTGACTTTTGCAAAGGATGGTCTCCTCAAAAGGTGTCAAAACAAACTTACGGGTGCTCTTAAGCACGACTGCATTCAAGGTATTTATTAGCAAAGACTGTGAATACCTCTCCAGGACCTCTGCCTGCACGAGAAAGTCCGTTTCCATGGGCCTTCACCAGAGCTGCCTCTGGCCACGTCAGAGCTTAATGTCCTGCGACTCTGACATTTTGGCAAGTGTCTTCTTGACCCGCAGGGCTGTGAGCCGAGAGGCTGGGTTGTGAGCCCAGCACTCCATCATCAGCTTCCCCATCTGCCGTAGGCACTGCGGAGAGAAACAAACAGGAGAGAAAGCCCCACCTGGGTCAGTGGAAGAGGAGACAACACCGAAAAGCTGAAGGGAAAAGGCTCTTTCTAAGGGCAGCCAAAAAAAAAAAAAAAAAAAGACAACGCACTGGCTGGTATTGCTTTTCAAGAGCTTTTGTTTTCTGTATGTTAAAGAGAGTTTACCAAACTTGGCAATTACTCTTATAATTTATGACAAGCTATAGTCTAGAGGTGGCTGTCCACTCTAAAAACCCACTTATTTTCCCTTCCCCAGCCCCATGCAGCCTGACCCGCACAAGTGTGGCTCTGTACAGCCAGCCCTTTCCACAAATCCCGTGGAATCCATGTTCCTCACCCAGCGAGCGGTCCCTGGGGCTACGGCCACCCACAGCTCCTGCCCAGCTTGTCCCCTGCAAGCACCTGGCTCTGCTCTGCCCTCTCCTGCTCCATCCCCTCCTTGCTTCCAAAACACAGCCAGGCTCTCCTCCAGCTCCCAGCAACAGCTCTCTGCCTGACAGCATCTCCACGTTGCCTGCTCCATCCTGGGAAAGGAGCATACGTCCCTGCTCTGCACCTACCGCCTTCTTCCAAACATAAAGCACCACGTAAGCCACCGCAGCCAGGTGGTGACCCCATCAGCCCATGGACTTATGCTGCCCAAAGGTTTGCTTGCTACAATAAGAAAAGTTTTCCATCTCATCCAGCCTGCTCTTCCCTCTTCCTGAGGCTCCTGGCCCAGAAGCCGTGCAGACCTTGAAAGGCATTAACCATAAACACCACCCAGACCGGCCTAATGTATTTCAGATTAATGTAGATTTTTTACAAAGGCATTTTGGCGAGGGAGAGGATGGGACGGGTGATAGATCTTCCCACACTGGCTGTTGCACAAGTCCTCCAGCCTCCCAGGGAGGCTGTTTTATTTTTCCCTCGCATTCCCAAATTGCCATCTCACGCCACCTAAATCTTTCATCTACCTACAGAATATTCATCTACACACTGCTATTCCCAAATGGCAGCTGTCTTCTGCAACTGGAGAAAACTTTACAGCATTAAACTGTACTAATTAACATGATTAATGACCCCTCCTCCACAGCATCTTGAGAGCAGTGGGCAGGTTTGCCTGTGGTACCTCAACTGTTTGTCTCTGATCCCACAAGCACAACTTTGCTCCGTTACAGATTCTCAGCAGGGGGATTCAGTTCAGATCTCTTCTCCCACCTCCTCCTTTTATTCTGGAAAGCACTTTGTGGATCCTACAACTCCTCTGAAAGGCAACATCTGCAGCCCTCTCTGCCAAAAGGTGAAGAGGTACATGAGCACTGTTTTCTGTAAGATGTAAAGGGGTGAACAGTTGGTGCTCCTTGGTGCAGCCCAGGGACTCCGGTCAATACTATTGCATATCAATACCCTAAGAGAGAAACTTAAAATCTTGTGCTCATGTTACCATAAAACCACAGTAAAATCGTGTTTCCAAGCCTGCACACCTGAGAACAAAGAGAAGCTGTATGCTCATTTCATTTCCAAGAGACGAGATAATTCCTTCTTTAAAAAAAAAAAAAAAGGAAAAAGTTTGGAATTACAGCCCACACTACACGCTGAAGTAGCTGCCAGTACACCAAGTATGCTGCCGCTGCACTTTACGCTATGAAATAATTTATCTTTCAAAAATTCTGGTTAGCCACTGATTTAATGCTATTAATGCCAGGAACAGAAAGCAAAATGAGTGCAAGAGGAAATCAGAGAAGCTAAGAAGGTCCAAGTACAGCCTGTCGCTGTGGGATCTGGTAGACAGCATACAATAAACCTGCTTGCAAATATCGTAGGCTATGGGCCCCGGGATTCTGAACACCTTTTTGGGGGGCTATTCAAGAAGGCTACCTTCCTTCCCAAGCCCTGTTACACCACGACTGGTGCCAGTGCCAGAGGTAAAGCTCCTCCTCACTCAAAACGATACAGAATCGGGTCAGCCTTGCTCTGATTAAAAACTCGCTCGCTCTGATTAAAAACACAGGCTGCATTTTAAGAGGGACGATACCTCATCGCTGCTCCATCTGTTGGGAAAGGAAGGGCGTAGCCTCTTGATGCACACAATCTCCCGCATGTCCTCGTACGAGGGGTCGCTGGGCACGAGGTCGTGGTATGGAAGTTGGTATTCCTCAACTATTCCTGAAAGAAGCAATAAGTTGCCCATTACTTGCAGAAGATACCTTCCACTACCTTCTTCCCCTCCCATTTTACAACAGATTGACCATACTGTTTAACAATTAGAAGTACTTCTCCTTAAAATTACTTCCCTGCCCTAGAAGTTTATTCCACAGTCAAGTTCCAATGTAACCATGGCCAAGTAAAGGCTGGCCAGGTATTTTAATCCAAAAGCGTAGTTACCTGCCAAGTGAGATGCTTTCTACCACTGACGTCCAACCCAGCAGTCTCCAGTAAGTTATCACAGAAAGGGCTATGCACGGGGCATAGCACAGGGCCTGTATCAGAGCATTTTGGCAAAGAACCAACCTTGAATTGAGTCTCCTTCTTTTCAGTGGACCTGGTACAGACTAAAGGGCATCTCTGTGCCTTGTCAGAGCACGGCAAGCTACCGTTCTTTGTGCACAGCAATGATGACAACAATATTACAGATTTTACATCACATCATTGCAATGCACTTTAACCAGTTTGTAAACACAGGGATCACGTTGCTCATCTGTGAAATTCAGCTCCTCCAGGGCAAGCGTGGAGTGAGCATTCAGCACAACACTGCAGGCTTTACAGCCCCATAAAGTCCAGTGAAGGTAACACAGACCCAAGAGAGACATGCTCTACTCTTACTTGCCACCAATCTGGCACGTAACTGCTGCCAAGCCATTTCTCTGCATTTAACTTTCCTCAGTGGCAAAACAGAGGTAATAACACTGATCATTTTTGTACTACACTGAGCTCTACGTTCAGGTAGCACACATGGACGCATTCAAGGACGGGCCTGCACCCTGAGTCTGCAGCTGGCTGCACTGCTTTATCTTTGCTGTCCTCATGCTTGAATGCCTGATACCAGAAGGAAATGAGGCACATCACCAGCATGGCAATCATGTAATAAGAGCCATTTCCCTCTAGGTTTTTTCTACTTGTCTTGTAAATAGATTCTTTATTTTAAATAGTGGCACAGCCTACCCCCAAATTATTTGTCCCTCTCCTTCTACTTAACTCTAGCAAAAAAAAAGTATAACTATTTTTTTTTCTCCTAAATTAGCTGAATACCCCCAGACAAAAATGTGTTGCCATTGGAAAAGGCCCCCAGATGAGTTCCATACGCCTCCTTCAGTGCAGGCATCCTCTGCCTCCAAACAATCCATTAAAATACAGTCTAAATCTTTGCTGTTAAAATAGCACTGACCGATGCTTTAAAATAAGTTCCAACAAGAGAATGGATGTTAAGGGAGTTACCTGTACGGTTTAGTCACATTTGTGTATTACTGTAAAAACTATTTTCCAGGGAAAAGGATGTAATGGAAGATTTGGGTTATAAATTGGGTTCACAGACACAATTAAAAATGATCTCCCAGCTCTTTACCTCCTGAAACACATCTCCTTGCTATCTCCCAAAGGATGAGTCCAAAACTGTACATATCAGCCATGATGTACGACTGAAAGTGATTTCTATTCAAGCTTTCGTCCAGCACCTCAGGAGGCATATAGCGTTTTGTTCCTACACGGGTATTTGGAGGTATGTCTACCTCGTTTGTGTCACTGGAAGAAAAAGAAAAGGGGGGAAAAAAGGCATCAAACATACAACAAAGTGGCTTGAAAAGAAAGCAATTTAGATGGGAGAAACAGTAAATTCACACCACATCCACTCTCAAGCAAGGTCAAAAGTAACGCACAATCTTAATGGAACAATTCTTACAAGGAAAGCCTCTTAGTGGGAAGGCAACCCTCCTTAAAAGGCTGACCCGCCTGAGGCTATGTTAAGCATTCAAATGCAGAACCACAGCGGAGATAAGACTCGACAGGGATGCTGTAACATTTGTGAGATTTCATTAGCATTAGCCTGAGCTCTAATGCTGATGATAACAATCAAATCTTCATTAAATGCTGTTTTCTTAACATACTCCACCACCTAATGCTTTAGTCTTAGCAATTAATGGAGGACACTAAATAGCTGGGGCAGTATCACTTAGCTGTAGCAAATCACATCTGCAAGGAAGACAAGTCTATTTTTTGTGCATGCGTTATAGTTTGATCTCTCCCAACCTTCACACATCAAGACGTGTAAACGCACAGATGTAAACGTGTAAAAAAATCTAATCAAATGTGTCACGCCTCACACATGGACCAGAAGAGACAACGTGTGTCTAACAGGAAGCAAATTCCCATCAATTATGTGACTGGATTTCTTTTTTTTCTTATAAACTCAAATTCAGCTGTATCTGTTTTAATGTTTTTAAGAAGTTTAATATATGGCATATATTGTGGTTTGCTTAGAAAGTTCTGTTTCCCTTTCCCCATCTTCAAAAGGTAAACATTTTAAATGTGATGAACGCAACAAAATCTCATAGAATATTTATACAACAACTTCTGTAATTTTCTTCACCAACAGCAATTTTCTTTACCTACAGTTAGGAAAATGACAAAAAGAGCTAAGCCTGAGGTACAAACAGTCATTAAATCATACATATGCTGGTGGCATTTCCGTATACCTCCAAGAATGTAACATAAATCTAGTGACCTGCTCTGTCTTGCGATACTTCGAATAAAATGAGAAATGCAGAGAACTTTACCAAACTGATAAGCTTCAGCAGAGCACCCCCCTTTCAACTACTTTTTTCTGCTCCTGGTCATTGCCTGAGCAATGCTGTCTAAGGAAAGATTCAGTATGAAAACAAGCCAAGTATGTAATGTAAATTCCATTTGGACTGTGACAAATACATATTACACCTTCTTTTACAGCACCACTTGGGAGTTCCTAGTTCTTCTCGGTTCGTACCTAAGCAGTGTGCTGTTCTGTGCTTGTCAGGCAAGGTACACCTGCAGAGGGTGAATTTCTTCCCTGAAACTTTTACAGCAAATAGTGTATGTCCAAGCTGTCGTTTTTTAGGCCCCTGTTCTTCAAAGTAAAAATACCCCTTTCTCATCTGCTAAAGAAAGGTCAGGTTCATAAAGGAAAAGCCTCACCAAAAAACCTGGTAAGTGAATGGCGAGAAGAGCACATAAAAACTGCCTTTCCTTACACTCTGAATAATTTCAGTTCAAGATTTGTACAGAATTCTTAGAATTTTTTTTGACACTTCAGGGAACCCATGGCTTCAAAGCTGACCTCTGAAACTGAAACCTTCGGTCTGCAGCCACACTTCTGTGTGCAGAAAAATCAGAGACTTGGTACCACTCGTCACCACCACCAGGACCAGTGCTGAGAGCTCGAGCTCCTTCAGAAGAGAGCTGTCAGACAGCAACGACTCCTTTACGAATCCCAGGAGTGCCGAAGTCCTACTTGTCTGCTCTTTCCAAGTTGTTTAAACACACAACCACTTTTTAAAAATCAAATTTAAAAGCCATTTCAAAAATCAAATCTGTACCTCGGCAATTTGATTTGTAGGAAATGAAACACAAGGCAGCCAAATGGGGGACTTTCCAATAAATCCCAACCAGTAACTTGTGCAAATGATTTGTATTATTCTATATAAGTTGTGAGTGAATTATCTTGGGATCAGACAAGCTGAAAGCTTCAGTGACAAGTTTACTGATGTGACTTCAACCTGTCAGTGCTATGTCCTTTTATGTGGTAGCAATATTCAGGTTGCTATTGAGGATGAAGTGATGAAAAGTGAACCTTTATGCAAATGCAATTGCTGTGCTGAATAATTACAAAGTTAAGTGTTCATAGACATGCATCATGTGTTTATGTGACATCCTCACCTACGTAGGCAGCCTCACCTCACCTAGTGATGAGCATAACCCAAAAGGTATGCACCTACACAGCAGCTGCTTACACATCACTCAATCAACAACTAAATCAGTGTTTGCATCTAATTCACCAACTCTCCTTTGTGCTCCTTACTTCTACTCACCTGATAAATTTTACAGCCAAACCCAAATCTGCTATACAACAGGTGCCATTCTTTTTCACCAGGATATTCTTACTTTTCAGGTCACGGTGGGCAATAGCGGGTTTGCCCTGAGTACTGAAGATCTCCGTGTGCAGGTGGCACAAGCCACTAACAGAGGAGTAAGCCAGCTTTAGCATGGCTTTTGTGTCCAAGGTAGTAGATTTTAGATAATCATAAAGCGAGCCATTCTCATGATAGTCGGTGATGAGATACAGCTGGGTCCAAGATCCTGTACCTTTAATGTCTGCGGCGATGAATCCTGCAAAAAAAAGGATTTTTAAATTAATACTTCTCAAGGCTTTTTTTTTGACTGCTCAGAACTCTGGACTGTCAGCCACTGTAATAGTTTTATTTTAATCATGTATTTAATTTCTTTCATCTTACTTCCATGCAACTATGCCTCAACTCTAGCCTTCAACATCTTTTCAGAAAGCCCAGACACAGAAATACAGGTGACAGAAACAGACATGTGGTGTTTGGAGTAACAGCCTCCAAAACCTATTATTTTTTAACTTTTATCTGTGTTTCAGTAATCCTTGAAATATCTTCCTTTTGAAAAGTGCTGGGTCGCCAATTGCAGAGCACAGCAGGTAACAAAGCACATAGGAAAGGGCATCAAGCAACAGCAAATGAAAAATTATTAAGCTTAAGAAACCTTACACTATCAAATAATTCTCTTTAATTTCACTCACCGAGAATATTTTCATGCCTCATCAGGACAGTCTGGTAGATTTCTGTTTCTCTGAACCAGCTGGCCTCCTCTGTGGTAAAAAACACTTTCACGGCTACCTTTTCACCACGCCACTTTCCCATCCAGACTTCTCCATAGCGACCTTTTCCGATCTGCTTTACCATCTGAATCTGTTTTGCGATGGTCCTTTGAACCTGTGACAAGCAGAGATGAGCAGTTAGGACTTGCTCTGCAGAAACCTGCTGCATCCACCTCCCTCCTTCTGCGTCTCCTTCGCAGCAAGCCCAGTGAAAACAGGAACCCGCAGCCATTGCGACGTGGATGTCAGCAAAGCTCCTCAACGTGGATGCTCCCCACTTCCCCCGGGATGAAGCACGAGGGAGCCATTCCTGCCACTGAGAAGAAGCCTTTCCATACATTCCCAAAAGGCACTGCGGCCTCTCAAGAAAGTACATCTGTCCATGGGAAGGAAACGTTCGACTACTAACCTTGAAATTTTTATTTTCCTGTGGGAAGTTGCCATATTGTGGAATTTTTTTAATTATTTTTGGAAAAGCTTTGGCAGAAAACACTCCTGTCCATTCCAACCCAAACCAAATTCCAAAGGGGTAGGTAACACATTTTTAATTAAAACGAGGAGTCTTAACACCGTTGAGACTCAAGGCTAGGGTTTACAAGAGCCAAAAGCATTTCAACGCTCCAAAACCAGCAAAAATACTGAGAGCAGTTTCCTACCACCTTCCTTGAAAATCCCATGCCTAATACTTTCAAAATAAAAATTCGGTGTTAGGAACCTCAACCAAGACTTACCCAGTTAGAACCTGCATGCCTACCTTAATTTTAACAAACATCACCATTACATAGTAATAAAAATTCTCTTCCAAAGATATGGAAGCACAGCTTCAAATCTGCCCTTCTTAGTGTTCGTACCAGCTTTGCCAGTGGCTGTACTGGGAACTGATGCCAAAGTCAAACCTCTTGTGCCACTGTAGCAGAAGATCAATGCAGTTGGCAGCCGTGCAGAGATACCCTTCATAAGGACCGCAGACCCCACGAAGCAGATGGACTGATTTTACATTTAACAAGCTCTTACAACTACAAAATATCTTGGACAAATGGAGACTGACATATTCTCATAGGATTGAAGCACATCTGCAGATCACATATTTCTAAAAGTTCACAAAATAAGACTCAAGTAGATGCTGCAACACAACGCACTGGTGTTGATGGCTGGCTCAGCCCATCCTAGTGTAATTATGCTTCCACATTGCCAGTTCAACCCACAGCTAACGATTTTTGGTTCGGTAGGATTTTACAAGATTTTGAAAGAGAATAACTTTATAGCCTCCAATAAGAGGAGGTTTTAATCTGGCCCAAGCACTTGGCAAACTCTGGAGAAGCACAGACTCCAGGTCTCTGGGTTTTGCCACCACCCATATACAAATTTCAAGCAGTGTATTGCAGCAAGTGTGTGCTGTCTGAATCCCTATGGAATCATACACATTTCACGTAATTCCAAGTATTTTTGCAATCTTGGCTTACAGAAATGATCAAAACTAGATTTTAAAATCTTTTTCTTCCTTTCCTACCCCTGGGAGGTCCAGTGGAACCTACCAGTTTGGTAATGGGGAGGAGGACTGCCACAACCCCACTGCAGCAGGAACGTATGTCCAAAGAAGAATTCAAAACCTATTAGGTAAGGTCTATCATAATTTCTTTTGTAAATAAATTATTTGTTTTCATATTAGACAATTTAAAGAAGAAAAATATGCAAGTGGCATTTATGCAAAGCTATTTCAGAAGTCCCAGTCATTTAAACAGAATCCCATTTTTTCAGCCCTGCAATGCATTATTAGACTTCCAAGATGGTGGCTTCAGTGCCATTATTTTTGATGAACATCAGTAAAAGCCAAGATCAGAGATAAGTCATAATTTTTAAAATTGATTTATTCTCTTTTATACTCTCATACGGTGATTGAACAATAGTTATATTACATTGGAATTTTGCTGTAACATTTTGTAATGTCATTCTAGCATTGTTGCTTTCTATTTTGCCCATTTTAAAAATGCATCCTGAACAATAATGCAGTTATATCAAATAACTTAATTTGTGTAAATATATGTAATGGCATCATAAAGTACATGGAATTATAATACTTAATGATGAAAAGTTCCTTATTAAATTACATTAAGAAAATGAAAAACACATTTCTGTTATGGGTTTTCAGGCGGCAGAATACTATGTGAAGGGCCTTAACCTGGTTTGCTCTTGCTAGAACTGGCCAAACGATTTCCTATGGACAATTTATTTTATTTTAAGGAATTCAGCCCTTTCTTGAATCCTGAAATGATTACAATTTCTAAAGCAAATCGGATAATCAAAATTGTTGGACAAACTGATTTCATAAGCATGCTGAGTGATGTGCTCATTTGAATCATTTACACTGACTGGGGTTTGGTTTTTTTTTCAATTCTTTTCAAAACTGTGTATTTTGCTGCTTGAGCTCTATGAACAGCCAGGTAAGGTTACATGTCCCTTTGTTTCCTATCCCTGACTGGAATAAATCCAATTACCAACTATTTCTACTTTCTGCATTCTATTTTTCTGATGTTCAGCTAAATCTGTTCAGCTACTGCAGATGAAAATTCAGACAATCAACCTTTTGTAAATTCAGTATTTCTAACAGGGCACTTCATATCCCCTATGGCTTGGATGCAGTCCCTTGAAAAGCAAAATTCACTGGAAGAGGAATTAGGTAAAAAATACATTAAAAGGTAGAGACCAAGCTGTAATTCACAAACCTCTTCATACAGACCACTGGAAAAAATGTTCCCAGCATCTCATCTCCTTCCTCAATTTCGCATGTGGATTCAACAGCTTTGCCTACACCTCTTGCTCTGTCAAGGCCAATGGGCTTCTCCCTGATTGCACAGATTTGATTGTGCACCCCAGTTTATTGGCTCAAAGCCTTTATTTAAAACTTAATGTATTTTTTTTTCTTGGTTTAAAATTTGATCTGGCCTGCAGTACAGTTTTCTGTCAGAGGTATGGACAGGTCAGAAGAAAGAGTGCCTGCTGAATGTCAAAGTATCGATAAAATCTTGGTCAATGCTTGGTTTTTGTATAGTATTTGTACTCATTAGAATAAATGTTCTGCACAGAAGGAAAACATTACTGTTTAGCATAAAGTGACATTTTGTAATAAATTTGTAGTTTACTTTCCTGAAATAATAACTTCGGATGTTTTGTTTTTTTTTGCGTAAGAAGTAATACAGTTAAAACCAAACTCTTCCACAATAAAGTCTAGAGCATTATTGCCAGGCATTTTTTGTAGACTTGTTTTAGACGTGGGTCCAAAGGAATTAATCTGTGCATTTCTAGTGAGCCTGTAGCAGTTGTAGCTGTCTGGGAAATGCCGTAAACATCTATTACCAAGTGCAAGATTCATTATAGCTCTCATTTTTCTTCTCTTCCACAGAAAATCACTATTTAAAGGGAAGAGCTGGGGAAAAAAAGCGTATGCATTTTCGTAAGCAGAGAGAGATGGGGGGGGAAAGAGCAGCCTCAGGAAGAACACTTGGTCTGATGACTGCCAAGTCTCCAGGCTTGAGAGAGGAGAGAGGAGGACTGGCAGAAGACAGGATAATTTCTGCTTCCTGGAGCAACGGTGCTGCTCTGAGAGCAACAATCCAGTTGGGATGCCATCTCAGCCATCACAACAGGTAATTAGCTGAAGTCAATTTTTCTGTCCACCACAAGAGTAGACCTGGGGACACCAGTAAGACTGTACATCCTATCTTCAATCAGCTTACTGGGACAGAGGAAGGCATAAAGAACAAGCTTAGTCACAACCAGTGTTGCTCCAGCTTTTTTGTCTCAAGGGTATTTTGGCATGAAGTATCGAGCCAGGAAAGATAGGATGGACCCTTTATCAGGGAGTGGAGCAATAGGATGAGGAGTAACTGTTTTAAACTGAAAGAGGGGAGATTTAGGTTAGATATTAGAAAGAAATTTTTTACTGTGAGGGTGGTGAGACACTGGAACAGGTTGCCCATAGAAGCTGTGGACGCTCCATCGATGGAGGTGTTCAAGACCAGGCTGGATGGGGCTTTGAGCAACTTGTTCTAGCAGGAGGGGGGTTGGAACTTGATGACTTTTAAGGTCCCTTCCAACCCAAACCATTCTATGATTCTATGCACTGCTACAAAATGCCCCAGGGCACCTGCTACCCACGTGGGCTGCTGGAATCAAATCCTCTCACAGAAGAAACACGAAGCTCCTTGTGTTTGCTCTAAATATTATTTCTGTCACCGTAACAGGTAGGAGCACTAAGCACAGACCAAGACCTTGATGTGGCAGGTGTTATGCAAAAAAAACCAAAGCAAACAAAGCAATAACCCCTCACAATTAAATCAATTGGAAGCAATCATTAGGAATGGTCTTAAATTGTAAACACGATCCCTCCCTTTGACAGATATAACAGAACTTTATCTTAAAGCCTAGACCTAAATGATGGAGTTTCTCTCAACAGAAAAAAAATGACCATGGGTTTTCTGTGCTCAGCACCGGTCACAGCACCCACTTGGCAGCTTGGTTTTTTTTCTCAATGGTTATGTTGATTGTCAGAAAATTGGATTTTTTTTATAAAAAGTCAGCACTTTATTTAAATGGGACTCTGAGCACTTACTCCTGCCAGAACAAATTGAGTTTAGTCAGATTTTTGCCAACCACTCATCCTGTTGCTTCACTTTAAGGAATTATAAAACTTCCCATTTTATTTCCTCTTTAGGGTGTAGAAAAAAGATGTGTGGGCAAAACCCAGATAGATAGTACATAGTACCTGGAAACTGGACAACATCTACAGTAATAGGATCACTACAAACTAATAGGTTTGGGAGACAGCAGGGACTTATCATCTCTGAAAAATGAAATCTAATTCATTTTCTCAGAGGCAATATTTTAAATTAGGAACCTGACTATTTTTTTTTTTTTTTCAGTGCTAAAAAGCAACGATGACCCCCAGAAACAAAAACCCCTGGTGAACACAACTGTTTTGCCAAGGAAGGTAAAACTCCTGCCTTTTCAGCAGGTGAGCTCAGGGGGCTCAATCATCTTGGAGTCGCTTCAGAAATAATCACAAACTCCATCCCTGTGCCTTTAACCTTTGAGATTGCCACACTACAAGGGAAACTAATTTGCTTCACTTCAGAATGTGAAGTCTACACATAAAAAGGTTCCAGGTTTGATGAATTACAGTTCCCTTTAAATAAAGACAATGTGTCAATGTTTGAAATGCAATTGTGTGTTGCACATAAAAAGCAAGATAATAAGATCAGCAGGCCAGATGCTGTCCTGTACATTGGCGTAAATCCTGATGAATTTCTGTGAGCTCTATTGGCCTGTACTTACCCTACGGAATCTAAAAATAAGAAATGAGGTGAGGTAAAAAAAACCCAAAGCTGGGTCTAGTCTACATGAAAAAATGTCTCCCACTTCTAAGGCAGCTGTTCTCCAGCTTAAATCCTTGTCGTCTCTGGGGAAAAAACCCTAGAAACAACAACTAAGGACACATAAATATAATTACTTGGGCTTCATTTTGTCTTCTCTATATTCATTTTTGCCTTTAAAACTTGCATAAAAATAATATTGGTTCCTTACCAGGAGAGGGAGCCCGGAGCCGCTCCCTGAGCTCTGGGACTGCTCGATCAAATCCTTCAGGGACTCTCCAGGGGGAATGTAGGTCTCATCCTGCTCCAGCCCGATGCTGTAGCGGGGCCTCGTCTCTTGGCGTTTGTATCTGCCGTTTTACAAGAAAGTGAAATCAGCTTTGAATACAATGAACACATGTGCAATGAATAATGCACATCCTCCTTCACATTTGCTTCATTTATAGACTCACAGCTTCCCCTGCTTCCCTGAGGAATATGCCAGACTCACTGCCCAAAATTTTCTATTTTATTTTTAGCAAATGTTTTCAGCATCAAAACTCTAAGTGTAAAACTCAAAGACCGTGCAATCTGGTGTAAGTTTGCAAAGCAACCAAATGTTTTTCTTTCAGAAACTTAAATATGTTTAAAACACAGACCAAGTGAATACCCAGTTTTATTTTACTGACTGCAGTGGATTTTTTAGGAGCCAGAGGAGGTAAGGTCATGGAATCTGAGACTACTTAAAAAATGTGACAAATTATTTAAACATAACATATGCCGATTATGATAACATTCTAGACATATTTACTTACATTCCTGTGTCCCCCTCTTTTTTTTTTTTTATGAGCAGTTCTTCACCACATAAACACATTTAGAAGCCTCAGGTCTATTTACCCCCATATAAAATTTGTCCTGTGACTTTCTTAGGCTCAGTGAAGAATAATCTGTGCTTCTACCTGAATGGCTTTTTCGGATGTTGGGCAAAAGATGATATATAAAATACACCACACAGGTATACCTGTGACTAGCATGAATAAAATACACATTTTTCTTCATCATAAAATAACAGCTTCTCATTTCTTTTCCTTCACGTCCACTTCAATTTTTTCAAATTCCTAAGTCTACAAAAAGATAAATGCTGGGAGGAATATTGACAAGCTGGGAAATACTCCTTATTTACCTGAAATAGCAGAATATGATGATAAGCACCAGAAGTATACTGCAAACAGTCACTGAGATCAGCAGGGCCTTATGGTGAATGTTCCCTTCAGCAAAGTCTGAAGTTAAAAAGAAGGTGAAAAATTTGGGAAGGGAGGTGGTACAAAGTAAGTATCAAAAGACACACATACCTTAAAAAAGTAAAGAGACCACAAGATCTTTTCTTTTGCAGTGAAGTCCTGTGCGAGTTACCCCTGGATTTCCCAGGTGTGCTCTTCCTCTTTGACCCTCACTGACCAGGGCAAAACTGGCACCCCCAAAAAGCCTATTTGATTTTTCAGCCCTCACTCACGCAAAACATTGTCCTGATTTGCAATTCCCTCTTTGGCTCTGAATGAAAAATCAATTAAGACCCATAGTTCTATGTCTTAACAGAAGTGATCAGCCAGAACGTGCAAAAATTATTGCCTCTATCTTAAATCACTCTCATTAAGTAGCATCCTATCGAGCAGTTAATATAAAAAAATGAATAAATGCATTTATCCTAGGAAGGAAGACACAGAGGATTATCCAATCCCCAAGTAGGCAGGCCACGAGAGACCTTGAAAGTGTATTTCCATCACTGCAGAATAATCCATCTCTTGGATCCTTTTTTTAAACACCTGAGCAGGAATTTCCTCCTCCATTCTATCTGTAGCAGCCCTGTGTGCCAGGAGGTCCTTCCTGTGCTGGTGGGCAAAAACTATCCTTCCAGCAGCTATTCTATAAACACTTAGAAAATGAGATGTGTGAAATAACTTGTAGAAAATGCCGTTATGTGAGGACTATTAAAACAATTCAATCCTTGCATGGGAGACTCATACTCTCCTTTAAAATACACCATTAATCTCAAAATTTGCATTCTAAATTCAGGCAAGCAAGTCTGACCTTCGTGCCTGCTCCTCTGCTGAAAAACAAAGAAACCTAGCACTATTCTTCTTTAACCTCCCCTGCTCCCCAGACTCTCAAAATTATGGTATATTAGCCTACAGAGACACACCGCCCTCCCAAAGTTGCTATCTGGTATAATGCAAATGAGAACTATGTTTTCTGAAGCTCTTCCAGTTCGTGTTCTCTTGCATCTTTCACGCTAATGCCCAACACGTAGTAAAATGCAAGAAATCCATCCCTATCGACTCATCCTGGCACGGCGCTATCACGTTTCAGATTTACAAGGGTAATGAGACAGGACATTCCTACGGGACTCTTGGTTTTCTGTCAGGCTCTTTTATTTTAGAATAAGAAGATCCAGTTTCTCCTTCTGTTTTTGCCCCCAAACTATTTCTTTCCTTCCCCTTTCCACTACAAACAGAGATTACCTACCAAGGCACCTTTTGATCACGCTGGTCATGTTTTAACCTGCCATTACCTGCTCCGGGAGCATTAACAACGTAAACATTCAAGACACAGCCGATGCCTTTGAAAGGGGACACTGACACGGTGGCTATCAGGAAAAACACTGGAGCCCATCGTTCTCCCTGCCACAGCAGATTTCTACCTGGCCTGCCACTCCAAGCGGGCTGTGAGCCGAAACCGAGAGCCCACCAGGGAATGCAGACTTTGTAAGCAGCCCGAACTGGCCAGCCATTCCCTCTAAAATGCGTGGCTTGTAACAGTTTAAGATGTGGCAGCCCCGTCAGCTGAGGAGAGGATCAACAGCACACAGGGCCAGAGAGTGGGGTTTTATGCTTGGGAGAAACCTGGGTGTCTGTCCACAGCAAGGGTTTTCCCACCTCACAGAATGAGCCAGGATGGAAGCTGGGCTTAAGTGTTTAGCCGTGGAGAAGGGTGATGCCAGACGCAGAGGGAGCAAGTCTGGTCTTGGTCACACTTGTGCATGCTGGACATTAAGGGCTGGAGCACCTCTCCTATGAAGAGAGGCTGAGAGAGCTGGGGTTGTTCAGCCTGGAGAAGAGAAGGCTCCAGGGAGACCTTAGAGCAGCCTTCCAATACCTGAAGGGAGCTACAGGAGAGATGGGGAGGCACTTTTTGTCAGGCAGTGCAGTGACAGGACAAGAGGTAACAGTTTTAAATTGGAAGAGGGAAGACTTAGATCAGATACCAGAAAGAAGTTCTTTCCTGTGAGGGTGGTGAGACACTGGAACAGGTTCCCCAGGGAAGTTGTGGATCCACCCTCCCTGGAAGTATTTAAGGCCAGGCTGGATGGGGCTTTGAGCAACCTGGTCTGGTGAGAGGTGTCCCTGCCCATGGCAGGGGGGTGGGAACTAGACTAGATGATTTTTAGCGTCCCTTCCAAGTCTAACCATTCTGTGATTCTATGATTAAAGCCATGGAAGTCTGTGCCACACAGACAAAAGGTGTTGCACTACCAGACTTCACAAAGCACCCATAGTGTCCATGCTGCCTGTGGGTTTCCGAGTATGTGCATCTGGGAGTAGGATGATAAAGGTGCTGAAATCTTGTAGTCAAATTCCAATCATCTTTAGGGTTTAAATGATCCAAACCCTGTGCTCAATGTTTCTAATAGGCTTTCCCCATTCAGAAAAGTAAATAAATGCAGTTTGGTTTTCCCAGAGGCCAGCAGGCCTTTTGGAAGTGCTGTGTAGCTCTGAAACAAACTTCAGACTCCAACAGCTTCAAATTTTTTGGTACCTGAATGCAATTATGTGAGGTGCGTGCAAGGAAAGTATGCAAGACATAAAGGACGGTGTCTTGATCTCCACGCCGAGAGAGGTCAATTTGGACTCCAGCAGCAGTGATGCTTATGCTCTTGCAGTAGGTGATGGCCCCCACAGTCAGCTCACATAGCTTAGAAGTGGCTCGCTACACGCAGCATGGGCATGCAACTGGCTCTCGCAGGAGAAGAGAATAACTTCCATATGTCTTTATATGTATTTGGCCACGTATGAGAGGCCATACTGACGATAAGTGAGCTATTGTCTCACCTTTCAAATAGTTCCTGCGTTTTCAAAGCATTTTGGCAGAATTTCATTTGCTCGCTCACTTGAGGACTTCATAAACCCACTGGCAGAAGGACAACACAAGATTAAAAGCATTACCCCATTCTTACACCAGCAACGTCTGTCTGTTCTGCTGAACTCAGCCAGGCTGATCCTGCTGGAGACCAACTCCCCTCTCCTCCAGCAGCCAGTGCTGTTCCCCGGAGAACAGCAGGTCACACCTCCCTTTCCTTGTACCATTTTCGGCACCTCCTTGTCCAGGTGGAGGGATGGGGCAGCTCAGCTTAATCACTGGCTTATGGGCTCAGGAGTGGAGACTGTGGTGGATACCGGTCGGTGCCAGTTTGCGTGATGGAGATACTCTGTCCTTTAAGAAGCCCAGCGCTGTGCTTTTTAGTGTTATGTTACTTGGCAACCACAACATGCCAAGCAGTGGGGTTATGAGAATAAGCAGTAGCTTCCATGGAGGCAGCAGTGAGTGATCACCAGGAGCATGGTGCGGGGAGCTCAGAGCAAACACACGGCAGGTTTGGGAAGCTTCTTCACATACCTTGGCTGGCTGATGACAGCAAAGCCCAGCACACAGCATGTTAACAGTTTTATGTTGTACAAAAACAGCGGTGAGCAACGCAGAAAGGGAGAGATGGCGACAAAAGAAGGGTCTTTGGTGACACCAAGCTGCCTCTCAGTTATTTTCCTGAGGCTTCCCCCTCCTCCCCGACTCGTTCCCTTCACTCTGCCATCCGTGGGACAGTGCTTAGGGAGTGCACTGAAAATGCCACCCAGCAGGTTCAAGGGAGAAGTCAGCATATCAAAGGGAGAGGAGGTTCTCCTCCCTCCCCAGTTCCTTCCAGTTCACAATGTTACGGTTATCCGCGTAAAAACTGCAGTGAAATCTGAGGCGTGGAGACTGTGTGCACACATCAAACCCCATCATTCCTCCAATCAGTCCCTTGCCCATTCATCACTAGCTCTACAGGCAGGGAGCCAGACACGGTGGCACCACCACTTCTGCTTATATAGGCTCTAAATCAGTAAAGACATATTTCTCCTTTTGACTGGTCTCAGCCTGCGCTTTCGCTGGGATTTCCAGGAATATCTTTTATTGTTTAAAGCAGAGGTGTTGTATCAGACCCAATTATGATTCTCATTTCCTTAATAAGACATATGTACAGATGGGACAAGGACTTTATGGTTTCTCTGGGGTATTTTATCCTGCTAGTTCTGTACTCAGATGAGCTCAAAGCTTCAGCTTAACTGTTGTTTCTTCCATCTTGCTTAACAAGCCTTGCTATGCCCAGCATTAATTCCTCTAGCTCCTGCTTTCACAGTCTGTGGTCCTCCTTTCTTTTTGGGGTGGGGGGTAGGTAAAATCCACTCTCCAGCACATACCAGGTCTGGAAAAGCACTTTGAGAACACAAGTCTGTTGCCTTTGTAGATGTCACCTTGGTGCATAGGTTAATTTGCAGTTCAACAACCTCTGACCTGCAGCTGGATGCTCTCCCTAGACTCTCGTTTCCCATGAGATGTGACCTCGGACATAAGTTCATCAGAAGCCAAATTTCTGTTTGTTTTTTAAATGCTGAGGAACATACATATTTTTCATGGAATCCTGGAGGTCAGAAGGTTGTTCCTAGAAGCTTGTTTTTAAGTTCATCTTCCCTTTTTTTTTTTTGTACTTAGAGTTTACGTTAAGTTTGATATACAATTCTAACAGTACTCAGTCAATCACAGCCTGATCTAAGTGTTTCCAATAGAATCAACAATCACAGCCATAGTACTGGGCATTGGCAGTAGTGTGTATTTGTACACAGTATTTGTACCTGGTTGCAGTGAGGATCTACAGTTCAAACCATGGCTTTTCTCTGAGCTTTCATTCTAGGATACAGCAATGACAAATTAGAATATGCTTGGCACCAAGAATGACATATTTACTTCAGGATTTAATAAAGGTGCTGACTTCAGCCCTGTCCAGCCACATTTAAGGAAGCAGCTCCTGAAATGTATTTCCAAAATACACTAGCAGGATACCAATCGTGTGAGAGAGTTTTCAAACAAAAGTCTTCAGAATATGTTGAGTGAATACATCACCTTTTGTTTGTCATGCTAAAATAGACAAGTTTGCAACACAGAGCAGCTAGAATCCTGTTCCAACCCTATGAAATTTTTCTTTCAACAAATATTCTCTCTGCTATTTAATGGGTCTGCCACCACGGTGCCCAAGTGACGCTTTATTTACCTCGTATACACACAGAGTAAAACCAACATCAATCCAAACAACGGCTGCCACTACCAGAAGCTTGTTTTATTGCTCTCTGCATAAGCAGCAGATAATATTGCCAAATAACTAAAATCTTAATAAGCCAGATGTCTAGTGTCAGGCATTAGTTCAGTATTTTTAAGTAATTTTAACGTAGAATAAACTCAGCACCAAGAAGAAATCATGGCAGCGTTTTCCAAACTGAAACGATATTTATTGATATACTAAGTGTGAACAAATATTGACTTCCTTTTGGAGCTTCTCCCCCAGTCCAAAGAACTTTTTTAAAATGAAAAAACCAACAAAGTAGTACATAACTCTTATGCTGGAAGTCAGATTTTATGAGGTTTTGCTGACTTAGTGGCTCGCTAGTAAACAGTGAAATATTTACATACTACTCTCCGTAAGCCTGATTCTGCAGCCCATCTGTGCAGAATTTCATAGGCGTGAAGGGAACAGCTCACATGAGTGAAGGCTTTCTCTGAGCATGCATTTAAGTATCTGCTGTTTGTGTAATTAAGAATACATCTGCACACTGATCCAGATTTTCAACTCAGAACACCATGACTACAAATTCTCCTGCAACCTTGAACTGACTCTTGCAGACTAAACTCCATCCCGACCACCACAAATCTTGGCCACTGCTGCCAATGCCGAGAGTTCATCATGCATAAATTAACACTTACTTAGGAATACATTTCTATAAAACATATTCTGCAACATCCAGCCAAAATAGTTTTACCAACTTTCAGGAAGTGATGTTTAAATAAACAAAAAAGCTAAAATCTTGCCCCAGAATCTAAGTTCATACACATCCATTTGTTCTCAAGCAAAAAATATAGAAAAAAAAAATCAGTGCATGAGTTCTTACTCTACATTCTATCTTCAGCTACATTTTTCAAGTAGAAAATCAGTTTTAGTGACTAGTTTTTGTCCTAGTGATGGATTATCAGGTCTTTTAAATAAGAAACACTTCATGGACTTCAGTCAACTTGAACTGACTGATCAACCACTGGAGACCTGGTCCCAGATGGGTAATGCATGTTGCAGGGACTAGAAAGAGGATTCAATTTTATTATCAAGCTAAAAAAATACCCAGCAAGAGGCATCCTCTGCATCCTCTGAGCATCTCAGCCTAAGTCTTTGGGATGATCACTGATAGCCAGCAGGTCTGTGCTAGGACAGTACTGTATGACTCTAAAGCATCTGGTGCTTACTGCACGTATGCAACAGGAATAATAGCAAGTATCAGACACCAAGCATTAAGGCACAGCTCCCCACATCACCTATAGGAACTGTTTAATGCAGTTTATCTCTCTAATCACGTGCAGTTGGAGGGGGGTGCTCTGGTTTTAGCTTTGTTGCTCTCTAAGGCACAAAGCGCAACATCAGAAAAAGATCAATTTGGGACTGGATTTACTTCCTCTTACCTCGATTTTTCAGTGGTGGCAGCGTGGGGTGAAGGTGTTTGTTACAGTAATCTTGGCCTGTGCAACATTCAATAGATCTTCTTTGGTGTGGAATAGGAGTGTCCTGCAGCAAACAATTTGAGAGAAAGCAAAGTAATTATCTGTCTTGCAAATATATGCCATCATTCTGGCACTTGAGAGAAAGATGTGCTTATTGGCTGGACTGCCCTGCAGCCTGTTACAGGTTCCTAGGATGTGTGGAGTAAGGATTTCTGCCACAGAGCGTATCCAGCAACATTTCCTCTAGATAATTAAAAGAGGAATTCACCCCTAACGTATTTCTCTTGGTGCCTTAGTGCTGCAGAAGGGACTGACTGACTCTAATGGGGCACGGCAGGACTGTGAAAGTCACATAGGTCCATCAGTTAGACTTAACATTACAAAAATACGTTAATGTATTCAAAACAGTTTAGCTGGAATAATACAGGAATTGCTGTGTGGACTAATTTAGCTGCTGCTTCTGCTCTCATGGGAAGCTGAGCAAAATAACCTTCCACAGACCTTGATGGTTAAACTGTTCCTGTACTCATGTAACATCATTTAAGGTTAATATTGGGAAAGGCAAACACTTCAGAGCCATCCTGCTTCACAGCCCGTACCCCTTCCATTCCTGCAGTGAGAGTTGCCCCCCATCAGGTGATCACTGTACTTGAAGGGAACTTTTGGCACCAGAAATCCAAAACCAAAGTGCAACTGCACTTAAAACATAAATGTTGCTGCTGTATATCAAATAACATCCTAACTAACTATAGCTACCCCGGGGACTTCAGGAATTAGACTGCATTTCTCTAAATTCAAACTTCCCCTGAGCAGGAGTGTTACTAGTAACAGCAGTGCCAAAACCCAAAACTGAAGTTATTGTTAGGAACAGCTAGAATATCACCATTCTGGGATATAAATCCACTCCCCTCAGCAATCAATGCAGAGCAACTATCTGCCAAAGGAACAGAAGTGAAAAACATGGACGTAGCAATGTCTGTTGACTGCACTTCAACTGAAACTTATCAAAAAGCAAGCAATACCCTGGCAGCAAATGCTTTCTTACCCGACACTGGAAGTCCGAGCCTTCTAATCCAAGACATCCCTTGGTGACTAGATGTCCACCAGACTCATCTTCTTCTATTATGGTGAAGCAGTAGCCATCAGTGCTGAGGGTTGGAAAGAATGAATCAGGAAAAGGCTTTGAAGTGAAAAATGTGCTGCTGAATATAGTCTTAAATTTTGTTCTTTGCGAGGCAAATCTGCCAAATGAACGTACTAAGGCAGCCTGGAAGACCCAGGCACCCAAGGCAACCTCTTGTAATGCAGTCCCACAGCCGACAGCGCTGTGGACCAGCCCTTGCACACACAAAGGAGACTCTGCCTTAGAGATGACACACTTACCTTTCCAACACTTCACAGCTATAAATCCCACTAAGAAACATCTCTATTCTCTGCCTACGGTCATTAGTGTGCTATGACTTTGGAGACCTATTAAAATGCAAGCATCAACGCTACAGAAGTTCTGCCTCGTGCATGGGAACAAGGCATAGATATTTTCATCATGATGGAGACCTGAAGAAAGAAACATTTTTAAGATACTAAATGTAAAATATTATTAAGAATGATTTGTGATTCCTGTTTTAACCATATTACAAACTGCAACACTCTTGTGTCTGAGTCCTTGAGTTATCATCAACATCCTTCATAACTGTTTACTTGGGTTATAAGCCTGAAGTGATCCATAATGCTTCCGTTTACAAGAATGTGCACCAGGGAGGACAAGTATACTAACAGATGGCTAGATGGTGCTGGTGATAAATGTCCTTCCTCAATGAAGGTCAAATGCCTGAATACTATGGGAAGATGTGGAAAAGGGCACGAAAAGGGTGGCTGCATTTTACTGACACTGCTGTACCTTAATTTCTCAGCCCTCTGAGGGAGATAAGTAATGTATGTAAGAAACACAAATTGACTGATTTGCAGGAAGAGGATTCGAAAATAAAGAAAAAACTCTTAATATAAGACATTTAAGTCACATAAAAATAATATATTCTGTTATTTCCCCAGGAAAATAACACTGGTTATTATGCGCAATGAGTATTTTTCAGAAGAGAAGAAGCAAACTCAGTTAAAGCAAGGAAATAAAAAGAAAAAAGGATTAGAAAATTTAAACACAGCAAAATTTCAGATGATTTGCTCCTTGTTTGAATGGAAGGAGAGTCTAACAGAGCAACAACAGCAAAGGCAATGAAGATGTAGGAAACGAGAGGCACAGTTACACATATAAGAGATAAACACAATTTGTAAGTATTAGCTGCACGACAGAGAGATGCTGGATAGGATCATGTCAAACATTTGCTGTGGCATATTTTTATATTAGTGGTGCAGGGTCTAGCCACAGTAAGCTTATTACTTCAAATAACAATCTATCACGGGTTATTGACTTCTGGATTTGAAAAGTAACCAGTTGCACGTTACAAATGACTTTCTCGGAGAAGCGAGCGATGACTTCTACCCTTCTCTGACATTGTGCATGCGAGTGAGGCAAGGGAGAGACAGCAACCCTTCTGGGCAACAACCACCTTGATTTCATTGCTTAAGCTTAAGAGATAGGAACAATAGGATTGCCAAGAAGAGAGACTGTAAGGAATCCATTAGAGTAGAATATTATATTAGATTAGGTTTTATTTGTTTGCGTGGTGCCTTTGATTCAAAGTAATGAGTAAGTTTAACCCAGGGGACAGAGCAACAAAACAATAAATTGCAATCAAGTGAAACACAAAAATGAACTCCACAGCTAACAGTCCCCAGCAAAACGCAAAACACTCAGTTCACCAAAGGAAAGCAGTGGGAGGAAAAGTCAAAGTGTTTGCAAAAGGGAAAAAGGAGGCATGACAGTCAGCAATTCTATTCCGTTTTTATCTGAATTGCCATGGGACTCTGATTCTTAGCTCGTTTCTGAAAATTAAATTCAGGCTCCTCAAGCACTTTAGTCCCTCTGAAAATTTTATTCAAAATTTAAAAAGACAAACAAAATTAGGCTGGATAGCACAAAACGGGAAAGTTATAAAGCTCCAACAATAAGGATAAATCACATTCTTTACACACAACATTAGAGTAATGAAGGAAAAGTGCAAGAAAATTAAAAATAGCAATGCTGAGCAGAATAAACTTTGGTAGCGCTCGTTTCTACCTATAAGAAAAAAATAGGCCAAAAAGATTTCATGCAATGTAAAAACTCATTATCTTATTGAAAATTTCTCAGGTGTCTGGGTAAGAGTTAAAAGGGACTCTTCTGAAAAGAAAGAAGTGTCTCTTACCTGGTTCCCCTCTCCCGCCCCCGACCTTTTCTCCTGGTTCATAGAATGTCAGGTGGAGACCACACACTGGAAGTGAAGGGCAGGGCACACCCCTGCTGTTTTATTGATTACCCTACTTCATAGCTGCTATCGTAGAAATGAAACTGTTCTTACTATTATAACAAGTCAGATAAGTCTGCATTGTCTCCACTTTTATGTTTATTTTGGTGACTGCACAAATAGAAACATATGTACCTCAGTGATACATGCAAAGCAAAATGAAAAAAAAAAAACACCATTCTCCACTTCCTAGCAAACATTTGTAGAATAGAATTATTATTTTCTTAAACTCTGTAATTTGAATTCTGTGTAATTTGATTCTGTGAATGGTGTGTAAAGAAGAAACTCAAACCTGCCATTACTGAATACATCTGGGTACACATCCACTAGCCTCCTCCACTAAAGCACCATCTGATTAGAGTATGGTGCAGGAGAGTGATTAAATACATTTTGGATGTGATCACTAATAAGCACAGATTTGGTACGTCATTTATTTGCCAAGAATGAATTTTTACAGCCAAGTCAAACGCCAGGAAAATAGAGGGAGTTAATAGCGGAAACACTGACAGACACTGATGTAGAAGGTGCTGCTACAATTACAGATTACCAGAAAGAAAGAGGTGATCTTAACTGAGACCTTTAACTAAATGTCAGAAGAGAGGAACGGAGGCCAACAGCTTTGCAGCTGCTCACACAGATGTCCTCACTGGCCAACAGCCATTTCTCACAGAAGATGCGATACTTCAGCTACCAAAACTTGACTGCTGCAGACTTCCTGTCCTGCTCTTGGGGTGTGACGCAGCCAGGGATGGCAATATGCAACTTGGAAAAGCAATGTCTTTCCCTCATTCCGTGCCTATCACAAACAGATGGGTTAAATAACTCAAAGAAAAGATTCCTTATGTTTAATTTTATTTGCAGTTGAGTCCATAAGGGTACTATTATTTTTGTCCACTCCTTTTTATACTCTTTAATATACTACTTTAATACCAAAAAGAGCTACACAGCAACAGGACTAGTTTCTGCTCTTTTTTTAAGAATAATCAAAAAATGTTAGATTATATGATGTACAGAAACTGGGAGATTCATATCCTTTTGTAAGACTGCCTGAAACAATCTAATTCAAAAATTGGCTGACTCTCAATTTGCTTCTAATTCACGTATGTTGTCACATCCTTCACTTAAGGAAGATGATGAAGGCCAAACTTAGCAAAGCACTATCTTTGGACACCATCCATAAACCAAAGAGTCACTGTAAATGTGTTCAACACAGGCTAATATTTCAGAAAAAATAATATAGTTAGCAGCTGTGCATCAGGGAAGTAACAAGAAACCAAGTGAGAAGAGCATTACACAATTGTTGAGTCAGATGCACCTTTAGATGTTTGCATGGCTACTCTGAAAGCAAGGAGAGATGGACAGGTGTAACAAAGCCAAAACGTTGTCTCACACTGGGCCACAGTTTCTGGCCACACCAGTCTCTGAGATGGTAATGCTGATCCTATCACACACACTCTGCTGTGTATGGGTTTTTGGCTCTCTAGGGGCTCAGAGACAACCCTCCACACAGAGAGAAAGAAGGGTACCCAACACATCGTAGGAGAGCATCTTTTCTTGTATCATGTATAGGTCTATCAATCAATATTTTCTCTATACTATTTCTCTATACTGCCCATACTATCCTCCCAAGACTGACACATGACCTGGCCCACCAAATGCGTCTTGCATATTCCTACTAAATCACAAATCAGATCAAACAGTTCTCCCTGACACAAGGAGTCACAACGCAGAAAACAAGCCATAGAATCATAGAATGGTTTGGGTTGGAAGGGACCTCAAAGATCATCGAGTTCCAACCCCCCTGCCCTGGGCAGGGACACCTCCCACCAGACCAGGTTGCTCAAAGCCCCATCCAGCCTGGCCTTGAACACTTCCAGGGATGGGGCATCCACAACTTCCCTGGGCAACCTGTTCCAGTGTCTCACCCCCCTCATAGTAAAAAATTTCTTCCTGAGATCTAATCTGAATCTTTTTTCTTCCAATTTAAAACCGTTTCCCCTTGTCCTATCATTATCCTTCCTGGCAAAGAGTCCCTCCCCAGCTCTTCTATAGGCACCCTTCCGATATTGAAAGGCCGCTATAAGGTCTCCCCGGAGCCATTATGCCAGTCTGTGAGGGAGAGCCCTAGAAACTGTCCAGTCTTCATGCTGAGTATATGAGATTTGACAGGTCTATAGACCTGATAGCACAACTCGTGGTACGGCAACAGCACCAAGTATGGGTACCTCTGCATTTTCACCGGGGCTCTCCAGCACCTTTCACTTTGGTGCAAAATCCATCTCAGTAGAGGTAAGAACTATCAAGAAGAAAATAGGCAAAAATAAAGCTATTTATCTTCCTCTTTTCCTTTTCCATTTTTATTTTATTCCTTTATTTTGTCTCCAGAATTTAAACACCGCATGTTTTCTTTTACTTGCCCTTAAGATTACACTGCAGATGAATTTGTATGATGTAGCTGCTTCTTCAATGCTAGGACAGACCTAACATGGGTATTTGCTGGTTCGGAATTTTTTTTGGTATAAGTAAATTCAATATGCAAGGGAAGTCTTCAGTATTCCAGTACATTCTGCACAGTAACACCAAAGTACTCCCACATGCTAAAAAACTACCTGAGAGTAACGCAATAGCTCTAAATACAGGGAGACTGGACTTGCACTGCTGTTTAGCTTAAGGGATACATTAAATACCTAATGGGCAAGCCCTGAATAAAAGGAAGAACGAGGAATTTCTGCGGCAGAACTGAAAAGAGGGACTTTGCATTTCAGTTTAAGCACTTGGGTGAAGTCACCTGCTGAGTCTCACATGAGACATATGGCCCGGGCAGAGGGAGCAAAGAAAGACTGGAGCTGGCAAGAATTTGTCTATGTTAACCTTCAGGGTTTTTTTTTTTTTTTTAATCATCAAAAAGGACTTAACTGCTTCCGGTTCAGCCCTGTATAAAGGATTATATTAAAAAATAAATCTAAAGGCTAACTAGTAAGATCTCACCATAGCTCCTTTATCAGAAAATGTTCAACTTTACTCCCATAATTAAAGTTGCTTAGAAGAAAAGTTGACTGAAGCCAGTGCTTTGGCCTACTGTTGAAGTTTTCTTCCTTCCACATAACAAATTACAAAGAAAATTCAATCCAATTGTCTGGAGAACTGGAGAATGAAAATAACATCACTCAAGTGAATTATCACCTCTGGTTATGCTGAAAAAGCAACTTAATTATTTTATTGCTTTAGATAAGTGAAGCTACCTCAAGACACAGTTGGGCAGGAATACAATCAAGACCAGTAGGCAACACATAAGAAATTAAACTCTATCAGCCCGATCTTTAAAACTGTCAGCATTTATTTGTGAATGGAAAATAGAGTACAACAAGGCACCTAATCAGCCTCTGCCTTCACTGCAATCCCATTACAGTCAAAGCCAATTAAATCTAACACTACTTTTTAAAATATGCAATTAATTATGATTAGACACAACTGCCCATGCATTCACTTTCTACACACAAAACTTGAAATGGAACTGTAAAACAAGGTCCTGGTTGCGTTCAAAGAAGTTTTGGGCTTCTTTACTGAAAGCCTTCTATGAATCACACAGATGTTCAGAATGAAGAATAAACACGCTACATATTAACACACCCTTGACAAGCAGAGGATTGCAGACTTTCTGCAAAGATCTTAATTGTCAGGGTCCTGAGAGCACTAATGAACTTCAATTGCCTGGAGTGGCCCCACCTGGGAACCGCCACCCCCCAGCCCCATAGACAGCCCTTGCCCAGGGGCTCTATTTAAGCACAGGTCTGAGCATCATCCCCTAAGTGATGGTACAGGAGTGTCTGTCTCCAGCTCTAGCTCCTGCCTGGATCCAGATTGCTACTAGCCATGCAGAAGGACTATCAAGGGAGCTGTTTCTGCCTGTTGTGTTCACGTACCCTTAGTGATGGTACAGGAGTGTCTGTCTCCAGCTCCTGCCTGGATCCAGATCACTACTGGCCATGCGAAGGACTATCAAGGGAGCTGTTTCTGCCTGTTGTGTTCACGTACCCTTAGGTAAGTGGGGTCCTGGTGGGTGAAGATACGGCTGGCCCTAGCATCACCATCACCCTCACCTTCTGACCTGCCCCTCTCCCCTTTCACTGCTCCCTAACCCTCTCTTGATGAGATGACCTGCCCCTCTCCCCTTTCACTGCTCCCTGACACTAACCCTCTCTTGATGAGACGATCCTGTAAAGGGGTCTTCCAAAACTTGTTGTTCTTACGGATTGCCCCATGTTTTTAAAGCACGCTTTAACTAGAGCTACTGCTTTTCTGTTGGTATAGAAAGCAATCTGCATTTTAAGCTGAGGTGTTATCCTTAGCTCCCTAAAGTATTATCGGACTTAACCTGCGGAAGTATAAAGAAAGGGAAATTCTGTATAGGAACACAGCAGGCTGTTAGAGGATTTGATACAGATGTGGTTAAAGAATATTTACTTTTAAATTTCTACAAATAAAATTATGAAGGGGATTTTAAATGGCCACCAGATGTCCTCATTTTTATATAAACACTCAGACTACTGGTACTACAGGCAGGATCTCCACCTTACCAGATAAATACCTGTGGTAGCAGACCAAAATCTTCAGGTGGGATGGTAGACTGCTTTTTATGAGACACTTTTAATGGTGACTGCAATAGGACTAGCTGTTTTATTCTGAGAGTTTTAATTTAAACACAGCTGGAAACGCTTTCCCACTGAACTTTCAGAGCCTTCCTTGCTCCTGTGCACACAAAGGGCTTCCCTGCTTTGGCCAGAGTCCCAATGGGGACAGTGCCTGATGCTCTCCAGAGCCCAAGCCCCGGGTATGGATGTGCTCAGTGAATTTCCCAGGTGTCAGGGCTTCACCAGGCCCTTGGGTGCCCCTGCAGGGTTGGCAGATCCAAGCTTGGCAGGTCCAAGCACAGCCCCAAAGCTTAATAGACTGATAGAGCTGCTGAGAGATTTTTCCTGCAGGGTTGGCAGATCCAAGCTTGGCAGGTCCAAGCATAGCCCCAAAGCTTAACAGACTGATAGAGCTGCTGAGAGATTTAATTTATTTTTTTTAATATAAAATGTAAAAGGCTTTTAGTGGCTACATCTGAGGGAAGAAGAAAATTAATGCTATAACTTGTAATCTGGAACAGTTTGTTTGTTCTTCAGACCAATACACTGCAATTGATACTGCTTGAACTTCAATATGGGGAAACTTTATTTATAGGGAGGTTCAATGAGAATTCCTGAGTGCTTTAAAACTGTGCCAACAGTTGTTCGAGCTAGGATGAAATGGGGAAAGTTACTGCCTGACAATCCCAAAACACAGGGGAAACTAATAATCCCTACTAACCTGATTGATCTTTGTCAAATCTTTTGAAACCTGGTGTCAACCCAGCCAGCTAACCGGGGACCTAATAACTACTCTCCCAACATCAGACTCGGGACCCTCTTCTCACTGTCATGTCCCATTTCACTTTTCATCCTTAATTCCAGCTATGTGATAGGGAATTTAAGCAGCAAAAACATTACAGGCTAACGATTAAGCAGATGTAGGGATAACAAGGGGTGTTAAGTCCTTTGTACCTCACTGCAGCTCTCACACCAAGGTAAGGTGAGTCATAGCAATGATGACCAGCCTGAAAAGGACGTACCTCACTGCAGCTCTCACACCAAGGTAAAGTGAGTCATAGCAATGATGACCATCCTGACAAGGATTATTGTTGACAAGCCATGAAGGCAGGGTATTTTATTTGTTAACTTAATTTTTTTGTTTTATATTACTCCAAACTTTTCAGCAATTTTTCACTTATACCAGGGTAAGTGTCAAGGTGGACAGTGCTCAGGTGACAGACAGCACAGGACAGGAAAGAGAAGGAGCTCTGGATAAAATGCAAGCCTTCTGGCTCTCTCCATTTTCTTGGACAGAAAAGTAATTAATATTTGATGGGTAAATTTCACTTTCAACAATTATTTTGATATGTAATTGGAAAAAATAACTTAGTCAAGTAGAACAGTCAAACCTGAAATATGAAAAGATGAAAGGGGGTATAATTTCGTATTTTATTACTATTTAACTGCCTATCCTTGGGCATCATGATTCTATAATTAACAGCTTAACCAAGTTTGGTAATTGACACTGTAAGGGGGACTCGGAAGAGAGTTTCTTTTAAAGTATTGCAGTGAGGGGAAAATGCATAAATCCATTTTAATAGGACATTTACTCGTAGCTCCTGATAACATGAAAAATAATGTCAATGCTGCCTACGAAGCAATGTGCAACAGCAGGCCTACCCAGCTGGGGTATAAACCTTGTTCAATGGGCTCCTTAACATGGTTCCCTTTGTGCTTCCTAATTCTTGGATTTAAAAGTCGTCTGCAACTTCCCTGTTACTGCGTGTGTGAGACAGCACATGTGAAAGCAGTGGCTCTGGCTGGGCAGGAACAGGAAACAGCCGATTGGCGCTGCAGGGGATCTGCAAATTGATATCAGAGTGGGTTTTTACGGCTTTTTAAACTGACTGCCATGTGAGCACAGTTAGCTCCAACTCCTGGCTGCTAGGGAATGGGTTTGAAGCAAGAAGATAGAAAGGAGAAATAGTATTTAACAGCTGTCATCAAACCTTTGATGCACTTAGCATGACTCTGCAGGCTGAGCAGAATTAAGTCAGGCTACAAAGCAACACCCACAAAAATCCAACAAAGCAACCGATATCTTCAGCAACCTTACACTTCACGTCAAGAAAAAGAAGCATGGAGGCAAGATAAAAACCAAAGCCTTTAGGACCTACAGAAGATAGCTCAGCTATTGCAAACACACACACACCAAGAGCAGGGTTCTCATAAATGGTGTTCCATAGAGAGTGATTATAAATTTATAAGCGTTTACTGACATTTCAATATAGCTCCATTAGGTCCCCTCTCATTAACTGCATGTACCTGTAAAAACAAACTCCTACCTTAAGATTTCCTATGCAATGAATTAATACAATTATTATCTAAAACTGTAAAGAATTAAACACCCTAATATAAAAATATAAATATTAAGCTGATAGCTAGGTAAAAATTACCTCTGATTTTTAGACATTATGTATAAACAACTAATTTACATATTACTGCTTAAACAAAAACTGCAATGTCCAACTTGGGACTGCTGAGCTACCACAAACAGGTTTTCCCATGCTTTGCCACCAAATGTGTATCCCACAAACCTGCAGGTGCTGTTGACTGAGTCCTCAGGACAGTGGTGGTGGCACTGGCAGGACAGCTTCTTCTGCGGAGGGGCAGGTGCTGTGCTCTCACCATCTTCTCTTCTGGTCTCCATGCTCAACTTGCTAGAACTTCGCAAGGGCATGTTCTCTAGAAAACTGGCTGTAAATATAACAGGGAGAAAAAAAGAAACAGTTCTAGGCTGGATTGCAAGGCTTGGAATGAAGGCTTTCAAGTATTTCTACCCATCAAAATTTTGAGAAAGCTATTTGAGCTGAGCAGTTTTCTGTAGAAGTCTCAGAAATGGTCATCGTGTTTGAGGCTTACTGGGCCTCAGTGGCATTAGATCAAAGGTGCTGATGTTCAAGTTCTGCTGCTGCCATAGACTTATGTTGTTCTTTTCCAACTGCAGAGTACAGCTTTTCTCCTATTGCATTATGCAGGTCAACTCCTTGGTTACACCTTTGCGCCGCCTTTGTCTCTATACTTGGCACACATCTACATCCACTGAAACCCATAAAAATGAGTGGGATTTATGGTACTCCAGGCAGAGCAGAACATGGGCATACAATTTAACAAAGATTTAACAGAAAGTGATGTTCTTTCAAGTTCAACAACACTTTCTGTCACTGACTTGCATAAGCACTACTTGGAAAACAAGGAAAAATAGTTTGTTTCTATTTTAAAAAAAAACTATAAACAAAGCAAAAGTCAAGAATGTGTTTTAGAATGAACAATGTTGAAATATATGGAGGTGATTGCTTCTAAAAATATCAGCATATTGAATCTCCATGGAGCTGGTGGAGTACAGCTAGATATGTTGGTGATAGGCTAAGGAGCTGTTTAAGGAACAACTACCCCCAGCTCTACTCATAAATACCAGCTTTCAGTGCTCGTGAATGTTTTAAGCCTCAAAGACCAAAATGAGATCAGCATGAAAAGCTTCAATTGGCAGTTTCCCACTTTTCTTTTGCTTTCCTGTAAGAAATCTTACTAAAGGGTCATTTACAAACAGCTGTCTCCAACAGAGTAGTTGAAGAGCTGGCTTGAAATTCCTGATTTACTGTTAAGTCTTTAGAAACAATTGGCATTATTATTATTATTTTGATTGGGTCCTGAACTGCTGCTTTGACTCTAATTAAAAACCTACCCTAACCTCCCCCATCAGGACTGATATATTGTACAGCTGACAGAAAACAGTATCTCTTCCAGCTCCCTACAGAGAGAAGGAGTGAAGTGATGGGAACAAGTAGCAACACTTCAGAGCTTGGCTGGCAAGCAACAACCAAGGTGAGAATAAGCCGAATGGTCCTGAAGCACTGAAAGGCTGTAGGAAGAGCAGGGGTGTTCAACCAGCCCATAACCAGAACTAATGAAGTCCAGGCTGTGCTCCTGGGTGCATGGGACCAGGCAGTGCCCCAAGCCTACACATGCACATCACACCTCCCAGCTACACACCTCTCCTTCTCCTGTGCCAGCTCTGGTAGCAAAGCCCTGCAAATAGAGAGGCACTGGCCACAGCTGGCCCATAGGTTCTAGCTTTCTTTAGTGCAACGAGACATGAAGCTTGTCCCTCGCAAAATGGAGAAAATTCTGAAACCCATTAGCTCAGGAAACTGGGGCTTTACACACAAGAACAGCTCATTTAGTGAAGTGATAGCTTCTTTAATAAGGGGTGCGTGTGTGTGTTTGTCTAAGTCCTTCTGCTCCTTCCATATTCCTTGCATAAAGGCATACTAATAATATTAAGGTGATACACATGAAATGTAATCAATTCATCATACTGGGCTATAGCACCTAAGAAATACAGAACTCATATGGCTTAATCTTTGCCCAATACCTACATATCCCACTGAAACTGACTGGAGTTTTCCTTAGCTTACCTTTTCTGAAAGTCAAACTAGAAAACTAATTACAGAACACACAGAAGCTATGGACTTGTAACCCTTGTGCCCAGCATCAAGGTATTAATTGGATTCATGACACAACTGGATGTCCAAGTCCCACACTGTTTTTACTAACACTTGGCAAAATGAAAACTAAACAGATTAACTCTCAACATACACCATGTATCTGTGTGTTCACCGCTGTATCTTAAGATGCCATAGGTGCTTAGATTTAGAGAAAAACGCACTGTTGTTTGTTTCTCAAAATATAATTATGATAATTTAAAATGCAGGCTGCATACCACAAATTAGTATCAACAGATGTTTACTCACTGGGTCACAGGATTAGAGATTAAGCAAATTCTCAACTGAGTGTAATAGTAACTCTGTGTATCACTTCCATAGTTCTTTCTACAAGCTATCTACAGTATTAATTGGATTCATGACACAACTGGATGTCCAAGTCCCACACTGTTTTTACTAACACTTGGCAAAATGAAAACTAAACAGATTAACTCTCAACATACACCATGTATCTGTGTGTTCACTGCTGTATCTTAAGATGCCATAGGTGCTTAGATTTAGACAAAAACGCACTGTTGTTTGTTTCTCAAAATATAATTATGATAATTTAAAATGCAGGCTGCATACCACAAATTAGTATCAACAGATGTTTACTCACTGGGTCACAGGATTAGAGATTAAGCAAATTCTCAACCGAGTGTAATAGTTTGCTCTGTGTATCATTTCCATAGTTCTTCCTACAAGCTATCTACAGGTTCAGCAGGGATCTTGCCTCAGCAAGGAGTGCAAAACCAAAAGCATTTTACAACTAGCATAAAAAAAAGGAAGGTGTAATTACACATTTGAAAGTGCCTGAAGACATTAAATTCAGACAACTCAATACCTTGCTCATAATACATACAACTGTAGGTCATTCCTTTTTTTCAAGAAATGTGTAAGGCAGTTCTACTCCAATACAATCTATGCACATCACTCATCAGGGATGAGATCATGAACAGCTTCTGCAGATCTTGCCATAAACAGCTTACAACCCTAGACCTGGTTGTAGTCTTAGGTAAAACAAGACAGGTGGGAGATGTTGAATTAGAAATTGAAATCTTAAGTACTATTAAAGCATCACAGGTGTCTATTTAGAGATGTAGCTTGGTTTTTAGAAAACTTTGGACAAAATAGGCTGGCATTCAAAGTTACACTTTCCAAGAGTTTGAAGTAGGGATGTAGCCTAGGATTTTGCTTTCAGCTCATTCCCAGGGTCAAAATTAGTGGAAAATCATTGCAGTTTAGTGTTGAATACATCAAATCAAATATAGTTTTAAAAGGTAGGAATAAGATACACTAAATCGTGCCCTTTCCTATATTCTAAAAAGAAAAACTCTTCTCATTCCATTCTCTCGTTCTTTTAACATCTTAAATTTCCAGCTGCTAGCTAAAAAGATGGGCAGATTTTTTGCCTCTGAAATTCTGCTACCTCACAGCTAGCAGATGACAGTGGAACAGGTAGATCTTCCACCAGTCAGGAACAACTACTACAAGGTCTTTTGACTTCTATGTGTCTGACTGACTTCGGAACAGAAAAACTTACAGCAGTCCCTTTCCCGAAATGCAATGTATACGAAGAAACCCACAAGAGCTTTCCAGTGTTTGGCAACAAGTTCTTCCTAATTTCAGGTGGGAAATGCACAGTTTGGGATGGTGAACAGCCTACTCCTCTCGCACTTGCTGCTGTGTTGTAACAAGCACATGTTGGTCATGCAGTCCTGGCTCTGTCTAGGGATTAGAAGCCCTTGGGGTTTTGAAAGCTCTCATACAAGTGCCCTGAAAGCAAGGGATTTCAGGCTACTTAAATTTGGCTGCTTCTCTGTTGTAACCTACTCTGCTCCAGCCTGCTTATGGCTAGCTTCCAGTCCCTGAAAAACCAAGCACAGCTTGGGACAACTGCAGAAAAAACAGTGGTATTAGAAATAAGGTTATTGTAGTCTCCTGAGAAATTTGCTGACTGCATCAGGGAATTAATCAAAACAGTTCAGAGCCTGAATGTCACCATCAGAGTGGTATACCTTAATCAATGTTTTTTTTATTTTCTCAACTTACCCCTCTTTTTCCATTAAAATTCACCAACATGTACAAAGCACCTTCTACTACAAAGACGGGCAGGCCACCTGCAGGGCTTTTACATCTATTTGGAGTACTGCTCCTGAGAAATATTTTCCTCTATGATACTGGGATCACTCAAAATTGTGATGTGATGGTCTCTGTTATGAACGTGTACCTGAGAAAGGTGACTGTGTGCTCAGAAGTCTGCTGCTGTTATCTTTTTTCCAAGTGTGTCTCTCTACGTGCTTGGCTTCACCTGAGCTCCTTTATCATATCCTAAGGCAGTCTTTACAGAAAGGCACATCTACAAAGATCCTGAAGCCAGGAGAAGGAGAATGAGGAATATATAAAGTGCTGTAAAATGAAAGAATTATCCTGGATGACCATGAGAATGACTAATGTCTAGCCTAAACCCCTACTACCCTCCATGCCAAGAAATAAACCTTCTTGGATATATTCTTCCATTTGCTTCCCATGGCTCCTAGATTTCATGGTAGTCTACGAGCACTAAGCCTTTGCATCAAAATATTATCTTCTCCCTTCTCACGTGGCAAATCCTTTTGCTTATTTTCAGTTCGTTTTGCTATAATTTTTTAAACAATAGAGAAGTGATCACACATCCCCACTCCACTATCACAGGGAAGTAACCATTAGGACGAGATATATATCAGTTTTAAGTAGTGCTGTTTAGCTGTAGACAGTGGTACCTCACACACAAAAGCAAAGCCACCTATTTAAGCTCTGCGTTGACTTACACTGGTGCAAAAAATATTTGATCTAGACAGCCTATCTCTTAACGTACATTTAGCCCTCAGACTCTCTGCCGTGGCTGCCAGTAAGTACCCTGCCAACTGTAGCCATAGTTATGCAATTTGGACGGGAATTTCTCCACTAGAATCTGGATAAAGCCCAATAGCTCATTTCGCACCGGCCCGCAGCCATGAGACGGTAATGACTTTTGGGCACTGCTCTGATTCAACAAGTCCGGTAATGTAGGAGGCGAAAAGCTCTGTATTCTGTTACTCTGTATTCTGCAGTCCAAATCTTAAGCCATCCTGTTCCCAGAGGATGAATAATTAGCAATAGTCGTCTCAACAGCCATGTGATTTACATGCTGTCTCTGCCGTGAAAAAGCAGATCTATTTCATGA